ATCAAGGGTCTAATTTTATGAAGTGGGTCATGGCCCTCACTTCCAAGTGGAATAAATTTGTCATTATCATTTATATGAATGAATGATTTGATTTGTTCCCAGCGATTTAGGGTCATGACATCAGCCACCTTGGCCTGTCTTGTATTGGTGGCCCAGTAGAGACGTGCTCTGGGAAGTTTAATAATTGACATGTAAAAAATAATTCCTATAAATTTTTCTAATTCATCTATCGATAAATTCAAAGGTTTGTTGGAATTACATTGAATTGCATATAAATTTGATTCGTAAACAATTAGAGGTAATAAATCATTGAGATATGTATTATAATAATCCATTGGTTTTTTTACTTTATCAACCGTTGGGTTTTCTCCTTTCCACTTTGGAATAACTAATGGTAAATTAGTTAAGCAATTTTTCCAAATCATTTTTCTCACGATTCCTTTTTCATTATTTATATTTTCATCCTCTTCCGATTCATCACTCTCATTGAAATCTAGATATTTATAGATTATATAAGAGCATACATTTTAAATATACCTAAATCATTATTTTGGGTTGACAGAAACTCCTCATCAGACGATTCACTTAAATTTGAATCTTCACTATCATTAGGTATGGTACCACAATTCATAATTCTAAAAATATAAAACTCAAATAAAATACCTTATTTGCATAATGTGTCTTTAAAGCAACGTATGATTATTACAAAATATAATTATCAAAAATAATTAATATATATAAAATAATTTCATAAACATTAATTTTTACCTTTTATTTATCTAATTTTAATGTTTTGAAATTTGTCAAATATATTATTTATCCTTTTACGATGTGTAGAAAATTGAGAAGAAAAATTTTATAAAAAAATAGCCATTTTTAAAAATAGGGTTTAATAAAATGCGAAATTAAAAATAAATAATAGATCACGTGGCCCAAATTAAAATTCCAATCGAAGATATAGAATATGGCTTCAAATACACACCATGCAATTGATTTAAAATTTATTTATAAAATATTTATTATATAATTTGTGGTATGTGGCTTGAGATACACAGTATGCAATACAGGGTTAAGGTAAATAAAATTAATTAAGGTAAATAAAATTATTAATTAAATTTATGTAAGATAAAATATAATATTTACCTTAAATCTAGATATATGCATAACAAAAAGGTATTGTTGTTTAAAAGTTCTCTAATGAAACAACATATGGTGAAGTAAAAATAGAAAATTTCTAATTGAGCTTTTAGCCATAAAAATCCCCTAAATTTAGGTGCTCAGGTTGTAAGTTCTTGTATTTACTTTAATTGGTTTTAGGAAATTTATCAACCCTATAATTTCCCATTCCAAAGCTGTAAAATAAAGTTCACTGTATGATGCTAATAATTCCTCACATATATATTATAACTCATTCAATCTCTCTAGCATGTCATAGGTTGACAACCATCTGTGACAATCCAATATAGGTCTTTTTAAGTTTAATTTTTTTAGTAAGATTAATATAGATTTTATCCTTAGCTTCTTGCAGGCAGTATGATTTTTAATAATAATATTAGAAACTGAGCAATTTTTTAATGCATGATCTACCACAAGTTGTAAGGTATGAGAAGCATATCTTATAATATTATATTGAGAATCATTAAGATTGTTTGTTAATTCATCGGGTACTTGTGAAACTAGCTGAAACATCATTCAAATTATCTACATTTTGTATTTGTTCTTCTTCATCATTTTCACACATTTGATTGTCATTATCACTATCCTACATAAATAATTTTAGCATCTTAATCAGATTACCCCCATTGTCAGTTGTTATAGTGTATATTTGTGATGTTTTGATTTCACAATCATTTAATATTTTATTAAAAGGAGCTTTAAATTTAATGCAGTAGGCCTTTCAAAAAAAATTTTCATTGCTAGTGTTCTCAGAACAATTTTTGTTTTTTGAATATACTGAAGATTAATTCCAATAATGCTGCCAAGACGAGTAACACATGATAAGTATTGACTTGTTGTTTTGTTATTTTTTTTGTAAAATGTTTATTATTTATATAATGATATGAATTTGAATAACGAAGAAATGAGATTTTGAAAAATAAAAAATGATTTCGATACCATAAATACTAAAAAAGACACTACAACACAGTCAATTTTTAGAGATAATAACCTACCATTTATTTCTTTGATTATATTTTGCCGAATATTAAAGCTAATTCTGCAACATTTGATTGTAAATTTTGAGAATTAATTTTAATATTACCCATGCCTTCTAATATAGGATATAGAATTTTTTTTAAACCGCTATCATCGATTAATTTGAATGGTCTGCCATTAAAAGTGAGCATCGATTATTATTTTTTTATTTAGTTTTAGTGATGTTGTTTGTTCTTTTAATACTTCTTCTATCGTCTGTTGGCTTGATGGCATCTTAAGCTTTTTTATTTTATTAGGCTTTTATTGTGATATTTTGTTAATTTTATCGAATTCTAGAGGGTGGTTTCTTTTTATGTGACGCTCAAGATTTGCTCCATGATGGCCTTTCATATTTATTTGACAATCAGTAATATTATATTTTGATGTGTCATTTATAAAATTATATGTATATAATTTATATATAGGATTTAATTTTTCTCTAAATAATTTATAGGCTTAAAATATTTAAAAAATATTGTAAAATGGCAATATACTAAAGTTTATAAAAATTATGACTGATCAATCAAATGTAATTGATAATAATCTTTAAAACAACTCGAATATAGTGGAAAATTTTGCAATATACTAGTAATAACTTACACATTATTTTATAAGCATAAAATCATGATGCTCGAACTGGTTCAGAGGCATTTTAGCGGTTCGGTTTAGGTTAGGCCAGAAATTTTTTAACGGCTTGGTTCGATAAAAATACCGGTTTTCGCGGTTTAATGGTTCAGTTTGGATCCCTGATTTTAGATAATAACGTTTTTAAAATGACTGGGGTTTACACGGTAGTACCTGTGAAACGAAGGGTTAATATAGCATATAATATGATAGAAATTCGATTAATATCAAAACCGGAAATTGCTATAGAAAGGGTATATTTTTCAAAAAATTTTTTTATATAGTTAAAATTGATCAATATCATAAATATAATCATATTTAAATTTAATGGATACTAATAATTTTTATTTAAAAATTATGTCTATATGAATGCCCTTAACTTATTTAAAAAGATTTCTGAGGGTGGGTAAGATAATATAATTTTTTAACACGTTCATTAAATTTTATTTCGAAATTACATGGCAAAATAATTGCTATTATAATATTATATAATTTTATAATGTAACATATCAAATCACCCGAAGAATTTGAATAAATTTTGACTTTCATTTTATTTTCTCATAGGGAAATAAAAGTATTCCAATAGTTCGTTTTGCTGTAAGCACTCTTTTAAGATGATTTTCCATACTTTTGCTCAGTGATGAAGCGTCAATAAAAGCAAAGGAGGCATTGCTTCCCTTGAAATTTTTCTTATAAAATTCTTAAATAAGCTTATAATATAATCTTTATACTATGCTAAAAAAACTAAATTGACTTCGTTAAAAAAAATTAATATTAGTGATCTGCATCGGGCCTAATTTTTCAAGCCCGGCCCGGCGCGAAATCATTTTATAAAGTTTTGCCCGGCCCGGCCCGAACCAGAATTTTTTTCTAAAAAATTTTGCCGGCCCGGCTCGAATTTATTTAAATATAGAAATTAATTTTTATAATTACTCAAAATAAACGATATGTTATATGGCATCTACTTTCTATAAATAAAATCCCATACTTTTATTTTACATAATAAAAAATTCAACATAAAATTGATAAATTTAGATATATATTTTAAAACATTTCTAAGAACCGACCCGACCCGGCCCGAATTTTCTTAAAAATATTAGGGCTTTTTGCAGATCTCTAATTTTTATAACGTTAAAAAGATTAATATTATTTTTACTATGTTAAGAAAAATTACTATTATTTATATTTAAAAAATTTACTATAATTACTACGTTAAAAAAAATATACATGATGAAAGCAAATTTAATATAGCTTATTTTTTTAATAAATAAAGAGAAAGAAATAACTTGAAGAATAATATAACCAAACTCAAAGAACGAGTAATTCTTTTAAATAGATTATAAATAAATATTAAAAAGAGAAGAATTTTTTTAAATTTTAATATAATGGAGGTTTCAAATAAAATCATATGATTTTCGGCCAGAAAAATATCTATACTAATAGAAAGAACAACGATAATAGATGTTACTGATGTGGCATTCGCAGATCTTTATTACCTCAATTGGCCTTTATTTTCAATAAATAATTTGATTAATATACAAAATAACCAATTTATACTTCATCGCAAAATGTATGTGTTCTAATATGAGATAATAAGAAATTAGATGAATATTTGTAAAAGTAGATGGAGTTGATAAAATCTAAGTCTAAAAATTATGTGAAATTATATATAATTTTCTGGGATCTAGTTGTGACTAGAGAAATGATTTTTGAACCCTGAGATATAATATTAACATTAAATATATAAAATAAAATTTATACCACATTTACATTTGCCTTTTTAAATAATTTACAATTTTATTCATATGAAACAAAAAATATCAAAGATAAAATATACACGGGAAATTAAATTATAATATATTACACAATTTAAGTATAAAATTGTACATGGAGGATCGAATGACACCCCTTGCTTGCCCTTCCATGTGGGCGCCCATGTTAAAAATCTAATAGGACCCGGCCTGAACCTCGGTAAAAAGATTTTCGAGCCCGGTGAATAAAATAATTTTAAGGCCAAACAACTTTTGCAAATTATTTCTAGGGGACTTTCCGGAATTTCTTTTATTATGGACCAGACCAAAAAATCTATTCAAAATTAATATGATTCGTTATGGTATATATGACGAAAGCAATCACTATAATTATATGCATATTAAAATAAAGATTTTAAAAAAAAATTAAACCTTAATTCTCAACTGTTTACAAAATTGTTCGAAAGATACGGCATTACAAACATCCATTATTTTGTGGTTTTGACTAGGCGATGTAAGAAGGCAAATTTCTAAGAGAACCTTAAATGCCATTCCGGCTATAAATTTAGCAGGATTATCCCTATCCCGATTCTCGATAGGTCGAATAATCTCGGCAGTGTACCGGCTCAAGGAAAAAGAAAAATCATGATTCTGCAAATCCTTATCGCTTTCTTCAGCCTTATGAATGTAAGACCCATTGATTTTGACATCTGAAACATAAGTGGAACCTCTCACATAATCTTGAAGAATCGATTTTAAAGTCTTGGTATCAAGTAAGTAGGGTTTCACATTTACGAGGTCTTGCAAATCCGATTCATTAATGCTAGACAAGGTAATATTACTAAATATTTCGTTGTGCTTATCCAAGGTTCTTTTATTGCAAATGATTAAAAGGAAAAGGACGAGGACTTTGAGAGTAGTTAACTGTCGAAAAAGTACGGGTGTTAGACCTCTATAACAATAAATAGCCTCGAATATGAACATCTTTAGCTATGATATTATAAAATATATAATCCTAGTTGAATTAATTAAATGGGTAATTTTTAATCAGTTAATTATAGGCAATTTGAAATTTTAATAATGGATTTAACTAACCTTTTGAATTTCCCCATAAGTATTTGCTTCACAAATCAAGACAATATCTAGTTTAGATAAATGTTGGAAAATTTCTACCAACCCAATTTTGACTTTAGTTAAAAGTGAGAGTAGGTTTGCGCACGCAATAGTCGAGCTAATCATCGCCAGATCCTTATTCGACCAATCAGGAATAGAGTCCGACATAAAGATTCGCGATAATTGGGATAAATCGCACTTGCGCATAATAGTGTCGCACAAGAAATCTGTCACTATGGAGGCTGGGCTCGTAGTACTAAATAGATTATAATAAAATTTAATTCAAAGGAATTATAATACAATCAGTATTCTTATTTACCAAAATCATTTGATTCCACTAATTCCAGCCACTTTTCCATTTTTTGTGAAATCCACTTAGTAATTGGGATTGGCAAAATTCGTGATTTTTTAAAAAAAAATCAAATGGCGACGAGTTAAAATAAAAAAAGTAGCGCGGTTTTTGGTCTTCGGTCAAGTTTAATAATATATAGAATTATAAAAAAAATTTCTGCTTATAAAAAAATATAATATATTTAGAAATTATGGATAAAATAGTTTTACAGGATTATAAAAAAGAAGATTGTTTCATCGATGACTACATTGATTATATAAAATACATACTGAATGTGAAAAATATTCCTCAAATGGACGCCACTTTAAAATCATTATTTATAACTTATGGAGGAATAAATATTATAACTGATATAAATTTATTACTCTATCCAAGGAAAATGGAGGAGGTAGGATGGACAGACATATACAAAATTGCAAAACAACTTTATAAAGATGAAAGAACTGTTTTGGCATCTAGAATTGATTTCATTAGATTAAGTCGCGGGCCTACTGAATCCGTAATGAGCTATTTAAAAAAATATAAAGGAGTTAGCCAGAAGATGCGAATTTGAAGATAATGTAGAACTAAGAATTGGCGATCAATTAATCGCCGGACTAAAGATGTCACAACTAGATAAAGAACTACGTTTAAGATACCCAGATACTAAAGACAAAGACCAACCGTTAAGCTTAAACAAAGTTGTAGAAATGGCTTTAGCGATGGAACGGGCTGACTTAGAAATAAATAATATTACTAAAATGGTTTATAAAATCAAAGAGACGAATAAACATAATGATAATAATAAACGATTAAATCAAAATGATAAAAATAATCGGCAATATAAATGTTAATCGACAATATCAAAATGATAATAAAACATATGTAAAAAGAGAACCAGTGCAAGTTCTAAATAACTACCACACAAATAATAATAAATACAATAAAACCGTGTTATTTTTGTAATCGTTTTCATACTATTAGAAATTGTCCAGCACACGGAAAAACGTGTAACAAATGTAAGAAATCAAACCACTTTGCCGTGTGTTGTAAAACTAGAGGAAAAATTTACGGTACAAATTACAATAAATGATGACGATTCAGATTTCTCAATAAGTAAAATCTACCAATATGGACAGCACCCAACAATTACGGTATTAATAAATAATCACGAAATTAAAATAGAATATGATAAAGGTTCAGCAGTAACCATCATAAATGCAACAATATGGAATAAAATTGGGAGGCCAAAACTTAGAATGGCTAGAGCTCCATCTACATATGGAAACAATACAATAAAAATTATGGGCGAAGCTTATGTAAAAGTGCAATTAGATGATAAAATAAGAAGGCTTCCGTTATTAGTTACAAAAACAAATGATGCAGCACTATTTGGATTTCCATGGACTATAGAATTTGATTTATCGTTACCAACAAATGTAAAAATCAATATGATCAACAATAGATATAAATATAATGATAATGGTAACGTGAATATTGACAAACTAAGAATTCGCTACGGTGTTTGATAATAAATAAGGATTAATAAAAAATGTCGAACCAGTAAAACTAAAATTGGAAGAAAATACAAAACCAATTGCACTGCCAGCTAGAAGAGTATCATTGCCTTTAAAATTAGAAATTGAAAATGAACTGAAACGTTTGGAAGAAAATAACATAATAAATAAAATAGATCCATCAACAAAAAGAGTAACCTGCAGTACTCCAATGGTAGTGGTACATAATACTTCAGGTGAACTACGATTATGTGGAGATTTCAAAGTAACATTAAATAAATTTCTACTAAAAGACTATCACATTCTATCATCGTTTGAAGAATTAATTGCAAAAATCGCTAATGGAAATAAATATACAACATTAGATCTCAAAGATGCATATCTACAAATGAGCATTGACGATAAATCGCAAGAATTATTAACAATGGTAACACCAAATGGATAATACCGCTAATTACGATTACCTTTTGGTATACCTACAGCACCAATAATATTTCAACGATATATGGACGATTTACTTGCTGATTGTAAAGATACAGCAGTTTATTTAGATGATGTTATAGTCACAGGGAAAAAAGATACTGAACATATAGAGAATATAAAACAAGTCCTCAAAAAATTACAAAAAGCGCGATTAAAAGTCAAAACAAGCAAAATAAATTTTATGAAAGAAAAATTATCATATTTAGGATACATAATAGATCAAAATGGAATACACCCAGATAAAAATAAAATAATAGCAATACAAAAATATCCAACTCCAAAAGATAGACATGACATAAAATCATTTTTAGGTATATTAAACTATTATACACGGTTCATACCAAACTTACATGGAATCATAGCCGAATTACTTAATAAAACTAGTAAAAATGTTAAATGGAATTGGACTAAAAAAGATGATGTTATTTGAAAAAGCAAAAGGAATAGTAACAGAACAAAATACTATACAGTTTTATAAACCAGATCTTGAGTTAATACTAGAAACAGATGCATCTAACCAAGAATTTGGAGCTGTACTCATGCATAAATATGATAATTAGGGTTGTACCGATCCACATATTTTTCACCGATCCGATATTGGTTTAAACCCGATCCAATATCTATATTAATTTTTCACCACCCCCCTTCGAACCAAATGTAATTAAGAAATCAATATTTTTTATGCAAAAATTCGAATTATGCAATTAATTTAATTTTTTTATTTCTAAAATAATTTTAAAAAAGTTTATGGATATAGTGTTAAATGAATTTTTCATTATTCCTCCCCGTGAAATTAGAATTCCGCAGATAAAGCATTTTGCAAAATTATCTTTGTCTTTTATAAAATATTTCCATAATTCAGATAACATATTTAAAAAAATATTTAAAGTATAAATAATAAAATGGCATTATTTAAAAAGATTTAAAATAAATAATTGGGTGTTCCTTTCTATTTATATAAAAAAACTTTTAAAATACTATAAATCTATTTTAAAAAATAAATAAAATTTAAGAGGTATTGTGCATTTGCATTGTTTAAAAAATAATTATTTAGAAAATATTATTAATGAAAAATAAATATAAATAAAATAACAAAAAAAGAAAAGTAAAAAGATCGAATCGGTTTTTTACAGGTATCAGTCCGATTCAACATTTTGGAAAACTCGAGATATCGGTGCCGATCCGATATTTAATATCGGCACAGCCCTAATGATAATGGTAACGAATACCCAATAGCTTATACCTCGAGAACTTTACAAGTTGCTGGAATTATTCGACAATCGACAAAGAAGCCAAAGCCATAGTAAACGGCGTAGAAAAATTTCATAACTATTTGTATGGACGAAAATTTAAAATACGAACGGACCACAAACCTTTAATAAAAATATATGGTGATAACAGAGATTTAAGCTCCTTAACAAACAAAAGATTATTACGTTGGGCTTATAAATTATCAGCATAAGATTATGATATAATTTACAAGAATGGCGCTAATAATATAATTGCAGATGCTTTATCGCGAAATCTAATAGAGATAAATGATGATAAGATAAATGATGATAAAATAAAAAGCGAAAATAAAACAGTGAAATATATAAGAAATCTTATTTATGACACATTAACTCTATCAAGAAAAGAACTTAGAGATGAAGCCTCGAATGATCCAATTTAAAGAAGAGTAAAAATATTAATAAATGGTACAAATATACAAAATCAAGCCCCAGAATTACAAGCTTTTAGAACAAGAATAGATGAAATAGAAAATGATGACGATATTTTATTTTGGAATGGTCGATTAATCATTCCATACTCACTACAAAAAAAAGTCTTACACATATTACATACGGGATATTATATATGGTGGGAACATTTAGATAAAGATGTCGAAAAATTAGTCAACCGCTGTATTGGGTGTCAAAAACATCGCAGATATACCAGGAGTTGCCGTATACCCGTGAAATCCGCCAGCACAACCCTAGGAAAGGGTACATTTAGATTTTGCCGGACCACTAGACGGATTTTATTGGCTGGTAGGAATCGATGCATATTCAAAATGGATAGAGATCGATACATTTGCCGGACCACTAGACGGATTTTATTGGCTGGTAGGAATCGATGCATATTCAAAATATATAGAGATCGATAGAATCAAAGATACAACAAGTAAAAATTTAATAATTAGATTAAAAAAATGGATTACTCGATATGGTATTCCACGTCAAATTGTCACGGACAATGGTCCACAATTTATTTCAAATGAATTTTATAAATGGTGTAAAAACAAGAATATACAACATATAAAAACGACACCATACCATCCGAGAAATAATGGATTAGTAGAAAGATGCATACAAACTATCAAAAATCGGTATTTCGCAAATAGAGAACAAACAAATGATAAGGAAAAATGCATAAATGAAATATTATTTACGTATAGAAATTCCGAACACTCTTCAACGGGACGAATACCTGCCAAACTATTTATGGGGAGAAGACTAAATACTTTATTGGACTGGGTCAAACATTCAATTACTGAAAAATTAGAAACCTCTGTAGTAAAACCCGACCAGTTAAACAAATGCTACATAGATATTTTGAAGAAAACGAATTAGTTTGGATAAAAAACCCACTTGAAAAAAAGATGGCATGAAAAAATAATAAATCAACAAGCTAAATTCTCGTATAACGTAGAAGAAAAAGATAAAATAGTACGAAAACACGCAGACCAACTACGAATTAGGGAAGAACCAGTTGAAACCACATCAATAATAACAAATAACACTATAAAGTTAGGAAAGCTAAAACAGTAGAAACAATTGAACCAAGTCAAAAAGGAATGCAACCCCGATATCCAACAAGGGAACGGAAGCCAATAAAAAGATTAATTGATGAACTTGAACTTGGTAAAAAGATTGATAGACGATCTTAACTTGGTGGGAAAGAAGATATGTTATATTTGAATAAGTTATATATTTTATAAAAGTTTTTTTTATTTTGGGCTACGGTCTGGACCGGTCTTTTATTTAAGGGCCGTGGTTTATTACGAGTAAGCAATATAGCTGGCTGTTTGAATAAGTCGAACCAGGACACAGCCTACAAGCTTAATTAAAATTGAAAGGTATTTTTATGACTTAAATTAAATATATATTTGGGAAAATCGAGCCGGGGAAAAATCTTATATATTTTTTCAAATAAACTTATTTGGATTATGTTTTATTTAAAAAAAATTTGTATCGATATCGGTATCAGCAAAAAAAGTGGTATCAGTGCATCACTGATTTAAATCACTGAAGATTAAAATCGCGATTTTAATCTAATTGATTTATATTAGCCGACCCTATTTGCGGTGGTTTTCAATCTTATAGTTAACAAGTTTAAATAGGCAGTCATTAAATGAGCTATTTTCTTCAAAAAATTATAATATATTATAAATAAAAATACTGCTTAAAGTAGGAAAATAATATATTACAATAAAATATATTTATGAAAAAATAACTCCGTATTCATCAACATCTTACAAAAAAAAGAGTAAATAAAAATTTAAAAATATATCAGTCATAAAAATTAAATTTTTTTAACTTAAACCAGAACAATAGTTTTTGAGGTCGTGCCAGATTAGTTGGAAAGAATGCAGGATAAGTATCCAATAAATATGGATAATGTCTATCTATTATGTAAGCCGGCATGAGCGAAGTGTAAAGCTGAGATGGGGCTGTGGAATGCAGGGCAGCATTTAGAACTAAGACTAGTATAGCAGAATAACTTTTATCTTCCGTCACCTCAGGTTCGGGCCCATCGAATTGAAATTGGCAACAGAACGCGGAATCATTACAGTCAGTTAATTGCCGATTTTTCATGGATTCGGCACATAACAAGTCGGGAATAAGTGGAAGAATCAAGGATGAGTGATGGGAGGCCAAATCGCGGAGACATCTTAAATAGTTAAATAAATTTTATAATTTTCAACTAAGAATTAGTGGACTGGGTAATTTCAGCTCTAGCTAAAATATTAATAAATTCAAGATTTAAATAACTTTTTGACCTTACCATTGGGTAATCTAAGATGAGAAGTATAGTTTAATAATATTTATATTGCAACAAATTAATGTAGTTAAAAAAAAATTTGCAATATTATACTCGCAAACGGAGTAAAAATCTTGTGGATATTTATTCATGTTAAGTAGAAGAAATCGCACAATTAAAGCTATGCTATTTACATCTACTACAGTGCAGTGAGCTATTATGTTTCTCAAGGCTTTTCTAATTTCTTCAGAAGAATCCTAAGGGGATATAAAAAAAATTAATCAATATATACTTTTAAATATAGCTAATTTTTCAAAAATAATTAATAAATATCAAAAAGATGAATGATCAATTTTATTTTTTTAAAACCTCCAATGCACTCAACACGATTTCGATCTGATCACTTCTAAAAATCAGGCCAATTTGACTCTCCCCTGAGTAATTTGAGGAGCGAGTAGTTACAACAGTTATGACCCTTGCTAGAGCGCGGATGGCTTCTAATCGGACCGTTAAAATTTCATCGTTAAACATGTCTACCAAAAATTCAACCGTTTTTCGAGCGAATGAAAGTATGTCTATATCCTTTGCATTTAATTATTGATGGGCAATAATAATATTGGATGTACAAAGATCAAACATAAATAAAAAAGAAAGAAAAGGTTTTATTCTTTCCATTTTTATTTATTACTTTCCAGTCAATGATATCATCGGATAATGCAAAAAAGTAGGTTTATCAAAAAAAAATTGTGATTCTATGGCTCAGCAAATAACCTATATAATAAATAAAACCAAATCAGGTAATTATCAGAATAATTAAGGAAAAACGCTATCTATTTTTGTACCGGTAGCTAATAGTGAGCCACTTTTTTTAAAAAAGATGTCATTAGTTCGCTTGTTTAGATTAAATTTAATAAATAAGAAAACCAATTTATATTTCATAATTAAATTTTGATTTTAAAATTTAAATGGGGCATATTGATAAGATGCATTCCTTTTTATTTTAGATATCCATTGATAGAATTGAGCTAAAAGCAGCATTTATATCTCTTTAATGTGCCTTTAAAGTTACATAATGTTAAATATTAAAATATTTTTTAAATATAATAAACGGAAAATAATAATTTTAAGATTAATTAATGAATATATCAGAGACCTACAGAGGTACCATTTTTCGGCCCGGCATGGGTTTTATTATATATTCAGGAGACCTGGGTATTTTATTTAAAAAAAATTTATGCTTGGCCCGGCCTGTAGCTAGTGAAAGTGATTGCCGTGAGATTTCGAATTCTCACACCATCAAAATCTCACGGCTCATACCGTGTGAAAGTGATTTCATGAGATTTTGATTTTTATCGCTTCAAATACATTGGGGGCCATTTAAATATTCAGAATCTCACGGCTATTCACTATTTCAAAATCTCATGGATTTTTAAAATCTCACATTACGAATTCAATATGGATTAGATTTTCTCAAATTAAAAACGTCAGATTTTACTGTAGCTGTCAAATTGAAAATATTTCTATATAATACATTTTAATTTGAAAAGAAAGGAATATTTCCTGTATTATGAAGTAAGTTTTTAACTAACAATATATATTATATTTTATAAATATTTTTAGTGATAATTTTTCCAAAATAAATGAATTTTTAAAAATTTCAAAAATTCCACTTAATGTCAATAAATCTAACTTTATTAGAAAATGGACAGCCTACAAGATAAAAGATGACAATCTTTACTACATGATAGGGGAAAGTAAATTTTAGATATTTTTTTATTTCAAATTGTGATAATGTATATGGGTTTATAAATATATTAATTTTTTTTTAATTTAGGATAATTATTAAATTTGATTAGAACATTTCATATATTTTTGTTAAAGTCTTAATTAATTTATTTTATAGGTAAATTAGGATGTAAGTGTATTTTTTATTTCAAATTATTTTAATGTATTTTATGTTTATATATATATAAGAACATTTAATATATTTACTAAGATTTTACATATAGGCATTATAGGATAAGTGCTATTTATACAACTAAAATTTAATTTAGATTATCACATAATTTAATATTTCTGCAACATCACCTAATATTATTATAAATATAAAATTTAACATTGCAGAAGTTAACACTTTGGGTGAAAGTAAATGACAGATTCTTTGTATAAATATAAAATTTTCAATGCAATTTTTCATTATTATTTAGCATTATAAATCTTTAAGCCATTGATTGTTTTTTTCTGCTTATTATTATGTATATAATTTAATGATATATTATTTTAGAAGAAAGAAAAGTTATATGGTCAGGAGATGAACAAAGGAAGATAATTAAGCTACATGAGGGGGGTGTATCTACAGTTACAGGTATTTTCATGGGAGGGCATCTGGGGATAAATAAAACTAATCAAATAATAACTGAAAAGTAAACATTTGCTACATTATCTTAATTAATTTTTTTTATAGCTTTTATTGGTTAGGAAGCAATAAACACATTAGGGAGTTTATCAAATCCTGTGAGGTTTGTCAAAAATCAAACAGTCGTTTTGATAAAACTTCTAATGTTTTGCATAATATAAAGGTAGTACCAAAGTCTTGGTATCAAATTGGCATCGATTTATTTTAAATATATTTTATGTGCAATATGTTATTTCTCAAAATATTTAATGACCATTCCTATAAAGGATAAAACAGATAAATCTGTTGTGAAAGCCTTATACATTATTGTCAACACCAACCAATGTTATGAAGTAATAAAATTAAAAATATCGATTTTAACTTTGAATTTTATTTGTTTTTAAATTTAATAAAACTAAAATATATAATATATAGATTCAGATGGTAAATAATCAATTGTGATAAATTTAGTCAAATCATATATCTACTTTGAAAAAAATTTATTTCCTTTGAGAAGGTTGATCAGGGTAGGGAATTCTGTATCAATGTTTGTACAGAATTCCATAAATATTGTGGGATAGTACAGAGAATAACCTCCGCCTACCACCCACAAGCAAATGGTTTGGTTGAGAGAGTTAATAGGACAATCCAGAACCGAATAGCAAAATCAGTTTTGGATATCCCAACTGACTGGCCGGACCCTTTAGTAGGGGTGTGTGGGACCTACAATTCTTGCATACACTCTTCTACAGGATTTTCACCCATAATAATTAAAAATATAATTATAAAGATTATCTCTACTGTAAGAGGACGTCGCGGTTTCTGACCATACATCAGTTAGTTACAAAATAAAATTAATGATGTATTAGCCTTACCAGAGGTCATGGCAAAAATAACAATTGACGAATGTCTAAGGGAAGAGTTAGATATAAAAATGGCGCATCTCAAGAAAATAACAGAGCTGGCTATACAAAATATTGGCACAGCTCAGCTCAAACAGAGAAAGGATTATGAGAAGAGGACTAATGGTGCAAAATCTTTTGTTGTGGGACAAAAGGTTCTTGCATGGAATCATAAAAAGTCAGATAGGAAAGGGAGGAAAATGTTGAACCCTTGGATTGGCCCTTATTTGATCAATAAAATATTTGATAAAGGTAATAATTATATTATATAAATTATTTATTGTATATCAAGGTATATATGAATTAATAACAACAAATAATGTTATTTTGAAAACAAAATACAATCTACGCAATCTAAAAGAACATATTGTGCGAAAAAATAATGATCCAGATAAAAATGGTAATGATTTTTTCAAAATCACATTTTTTTATAAGGTAAAAAATATTTTTAGATACAAAGATTAATGTTTAATATCATTATAATTATTTTATATGTTTTTATTATAATGTATTGCCTTTAGATATTGGTTCCCTAAATGTTCAGCTTGAAGATGTAAATTTCCCACTTGATACAGATTTTATCGATCCAAAGTCTCCCATAGGTAATGTTATTTTTGATATATATTCAAATTATTTTTTGAATGATATGATAATTTTTTAAAAATATTATAAGTAGCGCATCTGGGTGAAGATTTATGTAATACATTACCTATTGACAGATATTCCCAGAATGTTGGCTTTGAAGATGAAAAGTTCCCACTTGATACAGATTTTATCGATCCAAAGTCTCCCATAAGGTAATGTTATTTTTGATATATATTCAAATTATTTTTTGAATGATATGATAATTTTTTTAAAATATTTTTATAAGCAGCACATCTGTGTGAAGATATATGTAATCATTTCCAAAAAATATTGGAGATAATAAATACAAAATAGTGGTTCCCAGAATGTTGGCTTTAAAAATGAAAATTTTCCACTTGATACAGATTTTATCGATCCAAAGTCTCCCATAGGTAATGTTATTACTGATATGTATTTGATTTATTTTTTAATTAATTATGTATATAGAATTGGATGATGATATTATGATAATAAATAAATTAGAAAATATCCATAGATATTTTTTTCCTACAACAAAATCATGGAAAAAATATCATGCCAAAATATATGCTCTAAAGCCTCCCAAACATTGTCGGGATGTAGACTATGGTAAACAACTTGGTGAACCAACTATCTTGGGGCAAATTGAAGGTGATGGGAATTGTTTTTATAGGTAGAACATATCAATATAAAATTTCATTTTATTCTACTTTATAAAATTTCGGGCGATTAGTGTGGAGATCACAGGGGCTCAAAATTCCCATATTATTCTCAGGCAATGGTTGACACAATTTATGCTAACATTTGAGATGGAAAAACTAATTCAGAATTTTATGACACAAATAAAAAAATGGATATAAAAACGTATATCGTAAATAATGTTATGACAGGACAGATATGGGCTTCAGACACAGAAGTCAGGGCTATGGCCACAATGCTTAATACTCCGATTTTTACATATTTAAAATATAATAATAACTTTGTATGAGCAAGATATAACCCATTTTATATTCGCGATAATATTAAAAAATTTTATAATAATTTTATTTATATAAAAAATGGAGGAAACCATTTTGAAAATGTTTTAGATTGCAATCATTTATCATCGCTCTAATCATTATTTAATACATCTTTATTAGTGTTATATAGTTTTTATTATAAAAATATAAATACTTCATTATTATAATTTATATTCCTCATAATATATATTTTTGCAATAATTTATCATCCATCTAGTCATTATTTAATATTTCTTTATTAGGATCAAATAATTTTTATTATAAAAATATAAATACTTCATTCATATTATAATTTATATTCCTCATAATATATATTTTTGCAATAATTTATCATCCATCTAGTCATTATTTAATATTTCCTTATTAGGATCAAATAATTTTTATTAAAAAAATATATATATTTCATTCATATTATAATTTATATTCAGCTGATATATTCTTTTTATGAAAGTTGTATTTTATAAATAAAATTCTATATATACATTATAATGTGCATTATATGATAAATAGTTATATCAATAAAGTTCTTCGTCTATTTGCTTATTAGTTTATGTGATCCAATTCAAATATAAGATAAAATAATATAAAGATGGATTTTTTAAAAAAATATTATATTAGGTAAACAAAATAAGCATTATGATTAAGTCATTTAAGTTAAGAATT